AAGGAAGGAAGGAAGGAAGGAAGGAAGGAAGGAAGGAAGGAAGGAAGCAAGCAAGCAAGCAAGGGAAGCAGTGAGGAAGGGAGGAAGGGAGATAGGAGAAATGTGTCTCACTACACTTTGTTTTTTGTGGGGAGGCGCTGCGGCCCTCCCCCGCACCTCCTCCCGCTTATTTAAACATAAGCAGGTCACTCAAAGCACAACCAGCAAACGAGTTTGCAAGTGACTGGCCTGCAAAGCATTTGACCCTCATGGTGATTGGTTTTTCAGCGCGGGGATGCTCAATATACATTGTTTTCCTTGCGGGGGAGGCGCTGCGCCCTCCCCCGCCCCCCTCCCGCTCTTTTTATTGATGGTATTGCTACAGCGCATCACGATAGCCAAGAAAACAACCAAGAAGCGCACACATACATACATACATACATGCATGCATGCATACATACATACATACTTACTTACATACATACACACACACATACACACATACATACATACATACATACATACATACATACATACATACATACACACATACAAACATACATACATACTTACATACTTACATACATACCTACATACATACGTACATACACACATACATACATGGATAGACAAACTTACATACATACTCGTACATAGATATACATATGCATGCATGGACATACATGAATATATTTCAGACTTACCGGTGAGCGCTGCCATTCTCACATGGCTGGTGTATACTGTATTGTGATCTGCAAGAATGCAGCGGGAAGAGCCTTCTCCTTCTCTTGTTCCTTCTCCTCTCTCCTCTGTCTCCTTCTTTTTCTCCTTCTCTTTCTCCTTCTCCTTCTCTTCCTCCTTTTCTTTTTTCTCCTTCTCCTTCTACTCTTTTTTTCCTTGCCTCCTGCGCTAGTTCTCTTTCTTTTTCTCTTTGTGGCAACCCCTGACCACAAACAGTGCGGAAAAAATGTCAAAACGAGTCCGAAAAAATCACGAAAAACAAGGTCGCCCATATAAATATAGGGTGTAACCCATTTCTGGTTAAAAAATAACTATTTTTCGAAAAAGGTGTTTATTGACCATCATTATCCACTGTTGCTGGACATGGAATACACCCAGTATATTGCACAAAAAATATCATATAATGTATGCACATACACATGGGTAAATTTCTAACATGTGGACATAACTTAAGTCATTTGCCTTGAAATAAAGGGTCAAACAGTTGTCGTGATCGATGCTTTTGTGGTGAACTTAACGCTGGAAGCTCAGAACGGACCAGATTCACAAGCAGAATGGTCAATTGCAAGCGGGGGATTCTGCATCACGAGTCAACAGAACGACACACACCTTGTTGGCGGGTGAACACAGTCGACACCGCCATGCACGCTGTTGTCCACGTTTTTGTTCTTTTTGCCGGTGCCTGTGGACATCAACCAACAAAACCGTGAGCCGCTCCACCGGGAGTTTTCCGCTCCAGCGCGACCCGTGAGCCGCTCCACCGGCGTGAACCGCGACTCGCCCCGAGCGGCAGGTGAACCTTCTCGCGGCGCAAGCGGAGTACACCGTGCCTCGGGTCGTGCCGTGCGGCGGTCCGCGGGATTGGACACGGTATACGGTGTATGGTGGGGGCCATGGATGATGGGAGGCTATATAGGTGGTTCCAAATAGGTTAATTACTCAGTGATGCATATAAATATGGTATATACTCCCTTGTTAGGGTAAGGATGTCCAACTTCCACTGAGGACCCCAAATTTTTTTTGCTGTCGTGATGATGTGTCGCGTTTAAAGAAAAGCGGACAGACACCAACCAACATCGTGAATCTGGGATGCGATGACTGCCATTCATGCCACCACCTCCACCAGCCTGGGAACGAAAAACATGGAACAACCATCACAAGCAGTTTCTGGTACGTGTCCTTTTTGGAGGTCCCATCCAGTGACCTCTTAAATGGCCCGGGCCCGTGACCTGTTACATATCAATATTCGGTCCCGAACGACTTCGAAGCAACTCCACCTATCGGCTTCGAACCAGGAACCTTCGAAGTCGGACATCGGTCAGTCGGGACGAATCTTGGGGTGAAGAAACTCCAGATTCGACACGGATCGACGTGGATCTGGGTGTGGTCTGTCTCATCAGTCGTGATTTTTTTTTTTTTCGATTCGGTCAGTCGTGACGAAGGATCGACTCTGCCGACCGGAACTCGCGGTGAGAACGTTCTCCGGAGACGAGTGACTAGAGTGACTGGACCCCACAGAAAGCGACCAGTGGTCGCACTTGGTTTGGCGAAGGAGTCACACATGGTGACCAGGAATTTTTGTGGCCCCTCATGGACCATCAGTAGAGGCCTATCATTGAATGTGAGTCAAACTTTGCAGAAGATGTAGCAGAAGAGAGAGATATGCTGCCTTCCATATGGTGGATCGTCACGACTCTCCAAGCAAAAAAGAAGCCACACAGAGACAGATGCAACACCAGCATCGCCACTAGCCAGTTTTCAGAGATCCATTAGCAGTTCCTTGAAGAAGCATGAGCTATCCTGCGTCCATGTGTAGTAGCTTAAGTAGCTAGTAACAGCAGCTAGTAGCTTACTGCCTTACTTCATTGAGTAGGTGCCCACTTAATCAAGTAGGAGTGGGCCAAAAGAAAAAAGGTGTCTACCCTTTTTTGGAGGCCAAAAGGGTTGCGCCTCCACTCACATCAGATGGGTCAGAAAAGAATCAGATCCACTCACTGCAATTCCTGTGTGCTGGAATCTTTCTGGAATCCGACTGTCCTAGAATAGGAAGATCGTTCTGGTCTAACCGAATGGAACCAATACCCCTAGCCTTTAGTTCGACCATTACACAAATGAAGGGTGGACCTGGTCGTGCAGTGAAAAAAACTCCTTAGTAACACCAGGACATACCAGGATGTCCTGCCCTAAGAATCCGGGGCTAAAAAAAGACATAGGGTTTTGGACTGCGGATGTCGGGTCCGAGCCCTGCCATGACAGACCCCCAAGGATTCTTAGGGTGGTTTGGTTCACGTGAGCATGTTCTTTCACTCGGTCTCCGGAGTGATTCACTCCTCGGAACCGCTGTAGGTGTAGGAAATATCCGTCCAGGATGAGAAAAACCTTACGCCGGTGAGTTCGACTTGGGAGACTTCTCAGGGCAAGGACCAAGAAGAAGGAATGTATACTATGGGGGAGACAACAAAGCCAGTGCGTCCCAGTCAATCCACTTCTTTCTCAGGAACTAAGGATTCGTTCTTTGGAACCACTGGTTACAAGCTATAGTGGTAACTGGATGGTTTGGGAAATAGACATCCAAATCCCATGTGCCTGGGACCAGGATGACCCAGCATGACCGAGATGGATTTTGGATGGCCCCGGGGCATCCCGATCGGGGGAACACCTGTCGTCCGGTGACTGGGAAGCTGACCATCCAGGAATTGGGGGAAGTAGAGGAAACCTGAGTATCACATGTCGTATTGATATACGCAATAACATCGTAAGAGGGAGACCCCCAAGCAGTTTTTGGGTCTATCACCCTTCTAAACCAGTGCTTTTCTTGGGGGAGGAAAACTCCCTGGTTTGGGACTCACCCAAGGGCACTTCCACGAGTGTCATGAGAGTGTTACAATCCACTTCGATCCGAATCTGCGCCCGGTCGCCTGGCCTTCGACCCGTTAAAGATTTCTTCTGGTGTTGCAGTCCAAAATAAGATAAAATAAGCAGTTGTTTGTCGGTCCAAACCTATTAATATCACTTGTGGGCCAGGCATTTTTTTTAAAGGGTGTTCCTGGAGTTTTAGCTTCCAACTGTGCCTCTGTCCAATCCCCTTCGCTTCATTTGTTTTCAACACTCCAGCGACGCGGACGCTCAGGTGAAGATGCACGCGCAGCTGCTGGAGGATTTGCTCGACGGCTGCACCACGCACCTCTGAAGCCGCGTTCGTCGAAGCCGCGCCCTTCGTTGCCAACGGCTGCCCCCGTGGGGAACGGGAAGCCGGAACGAGACGCGAGGCTTGGAACGGCGGTTGGAATGTACCAAGTGCATCAAAAGGCGTAGAATTGGGTGGTCAGCCTCTCTGGAAAGAGGCTCGTAGATGGTGAAGATTCTTACAAAGACTCACTATACCAGCTAGGTTGATGGTGAATGGTAGCATCTCTTGCCATGCACGTAGAGCTGAGAGCTCACGATTGGTGGGAGGTCACGAAGGGCACGTTGCAAGCGATTTTCTCACACCGAAGCCTCTCCGTGGATAGCTGGAAAAACGATTCGTCACCATTTGCACGCCCAAACCACGCAGGCCTGGTAAAATGCCTTTGGCCTGGTTTGAATGCAGAAGTGCGGCAGAAGAGACCAGACATCGCAGCCAAAGTGCTGAGTTCGTGGTGGTTTCAGTTCGTGGATCCAGTCCATGCTCGCTGAACTCGGAAGCTTGACGTGACGGACGGTGACCGGTTTCGGCTATGTGCAAGACCGGCGGTGACCGTGCGGTCACCGGAAGGCTCATGAAAACACATATAAGAAACCAATGAAAACCTATCTAAGATCATCAAAGAGCTCATAGGAGTTCTCGAGCTGGACAGGTTTCAAGATCGATCTGTCGAAATCACCTTCTGTGCAAAATCTCGCAGCGTGCGGAAGGGCGGTGCGGAGAGAAGGCTCGTGTGGATTTCGGGTGATCTCCGGCCCGTAGAAGCGATATGAAGCGATGCAACGTCAGAAGTCTTCTTCTTGGGTTGTGTTAGACATGACAAGCCTACAGAGATTTTCTGCCCCCCCACTGGTGAACGTTTGAAAAGAAACTGATCACTGATAATGATTTGATATGTGTATACTATACGTACTGTATATACTTGGAACCCGTTTGACCTTTGTTTTCATAGGAAAACACACACATATTTGGGGTATGTTTGGGGTATTCTTGTGGTCCAAATTAGAGGTCATTCCAGTTGGCTGAGGAGTTTCATGAGACAACCCCTTTATATATCTTTATATCCTCAGAGCCTGTTCTCGAGTTCGGGGCTGACATCTGGACCGGCAGGGTGACCACCAGGGTGACCATGGGACCTGCAGGGTGACCAGGCTTCGTCACCGTCACCAGTCCAGTCTCCACCAGGTCCAGTTCCGCGGAAGCTTCGTCCCTTCTCGGACGTTTTTCCTTTTGATGGACCGGAGCTTCCGGGCTCTGTGTGAGACATGGGTGGAGCCGGAGGCCAGGGCGTGTCATTTGTATTGCATAGATGGTTGACATATGTTGACATCGTTCATTTCAATTCATTTCATATAAAATCATCAAATGTGCCACACACTCCATGGCGTATGGCGTATTTGCATACATTGTGGTGGTTTCCGGGTATGAATGTCGGCATAGTATATATATATATTATATTTTTATATATGTCCAGTCCAATGTGTAGGTAGTGTGTGGTCCCGAAAGTGACTCTCCGACCGCCCCACCGCTTTTCAGTGACCGCCTGGCGCCATCGCGCTTTGGTTTGGAGATGTTTCGTTGGGTCTTCCCAGACACGACCTGTCTGGGACTGCCGATGCCGATCAGTTAGGGTGGTGCCAGGGGGGTCAATGGGGCGGCATATATGGCAGTCCCATTAGTCGTGTCTGGGGAGGATAGTTTTCCAGATTCGCACCTCAAAGGGTAGAGAGAGGCATGCCCAGAGATGCTTTGCTCGACACGGAGCTTTGCCCAGACTCGGGCTGAGCGTTCGCGAACGTGTCTTTTTGCGAAAGTGTCTGAACACAAAATATATAGACCTGGTCGGTGGACCACTTTTAACTTGTTGGTTTTCGGGAACGGCTTGGGAGATCTTGGGAGTCAGAACAGAGTCCTGACTCAAGAGGTGTGTGGGAATGATGTTGAACTCCTCTTTCCATCCACTTCGAGAAAGCCAATGAGTTACGGCTTCAACGCCAATCTACGGATTCTTTGTGGAGCTGTTCTTCGCCGTCGCCGGGGGGTTCCCGCATGAGTCAGTCAGTTGGTGCCGAAGTTCCGCCTGGACTCGCCGCCTCTGCCGGCCATTCTTGGCTTCACAGAGCTGTCACCGAAGCACCTGCAAATGCAAGGCCCGTGCGATTCGGATGTGGGGAGAACCGGGTGTTGTTCGGCCGGATTCCGCGCAGAGCGGGGAGTGGGGAGGGTGGAACTGCGACCAGGGGGAGAGGGGTGGGAATTGGCTGGAACGTCGAACATTCGGCGCATAGCTATGTATAGCTTCTCTTGCTGCAGTGATTTTTCCACAGGTGGACGGCATACAAAGACTTCTCGTCGCAACATGGAGATTTTAGGGCTTCGAAAAGCAACACCGAACTCGTTTTGAACGATGTTTACACGTACTATACCCCTTACACTCCATGGGACTGCCATATATGCCTATATAATCCTATATACATTGACCCCCCAAACCACCACCGCAACTGATCGGACTGATCCGTGACGACTCGTCGACTGGAGAAGGCCCACGCTGGTCCTTCGCGCCGGTGGAGCCTGTCCCGTCGGTCCGGATCCGTCCGGAACGTCCCGAAGTGGTGGGGGTGGTGGTGGAGTCCAACTGGGTCCTCCAAGAAGCCAGGGGTTTTTGTTTGGAACGTTTGGAAGCTACTGGAGCTGAGCGAAGATCGTGGTCAACCGTCTGATGCCGCATCCAGTCGCGAGCGAAGAGGAGAGGCAGCGTTGGAAACAGCAGGGCTCGGCTGAGGTGGTCAATGTCGCGGACAAAACGTTCGAAGAGAGCACCCTCGGTGCCCGTTGAGCGGCGTGAGGAGGTTCTCAGGAAATTAAGATAATTAAGCAATATCTTCGCTATTCCACAAGACCGCCTAAGCAAGGCGAAGGACCAAGCGAAGATTCTGAAGATCCTCACCGCTGTCGAAGAGAAGCAAGCGGCAATAGATGCTTACAGCCACAAACATCTCACCACTCGAAGCGTCCACGTGAACGGGAAACAGGTTCTGTACCTTGACCCAGCAGTCAGAGATGAGAGACTGGAACAGATCATGCGAGAAGCGAAATCGGACCAGACCGACAGAGGGCGATTCATGGGTCTGTTCGGACTCCGAAAGGTGACTGGGGCAAGCGGTTCAAGTCGCGGGGCAAGCTTCTGACTGGTGCTTAGTAGGGAATGAGGGAATGGATCCAAAGGAATCTCTATTGGGGGCTCATTCCCTCATTCTCTACTAAGCACCAGTCAGGCTTTGAAGGGACATTTCATCCCTGTGCCTCCGGATCCTTTGCATGTTTCAAAGTTCAACAAGCACGATCTGGCACCGCCGAAAGTGGAAGACAATGAAGAGTATCCTTTGCCGCTTGAAATCGACGAATACTTGAGAAGACAAGTGAACAACGAAACGAACTTGAGAACTACGGCGGCGAAGAAAGCTGAGCAAGCGCTTGGAAGAATTTACGCCAATGCTGACGCAGCCAGCAGCAATTGACGCATCTGATGCCCCGCAATACCAGAAACAAGATGGAGCCCACGAACCCGAATGCAAACACATATGTCAATCCACTGTGTATAGAAAGAGACACAGCCGGTTAGATTATCTTTTTCACACTCCGGCACGCTGTTAGACACGTTCGAAAAGCTACAAGTGACACTCTTGTAGGACACTCTTGTGGGACACTCTTGTGGGTCTCTTGTAGGAAACTCTTGTGGGACACTCTTACGGGACACTCTTGTGGGACACTCTTGTGGGACACTCTTACGTGACACTCTTGTGGGACACTCTTGTGGGACACTCTAGTAGGACACTCTTGTAGGACACTCATACGGGACACTCTTGTCGCACACTCTTGTAGGACACTCTTGTGGTCACTCTTTATGGGAAACTCTTGTGGGACACTCTTGTAGGACACTCTTGTGGGACACTCATATGGGACACTCTTGTGGGACATTCTTGTAGGACACTCTTGTGGGACACTCTTGTGGGACACTCTTGTAGGACACTCTTGTGGGACACTCTTTTGTAGGACACTCTTGCGGGACACTGTTGCGGGACACTCTTGTGGGACACTCCTGTGGGACACTCATTTGGGACACTCTTGCGGGACACTCTTGTGGGACACTCTTGTAGGACACTCTTGTGGAACACTCTTGTGGCACACTCCTATAGGACACTCTTGTAGGAAACCCTTGTGGGATACTCTTGTAGGACACTCTTGTGGGACACTCTTGTAGGACACTCTTGTGGGACACTCTTGTAGGGCACTCTTGTGGGACACTCTTGTGGGACACTCTTATAGGACACTCTTGTGGGACACTCTTAACTCTTGTGAGACACTCTTGTGGGACATGGTTGCGGGACACTCTTGTGGGACACTCTTGTGAGACACTCTTACGGGACACTCTTGTAGGACACTCTTGTGGGACACTCTTGTAGGACACTCTGGTGGGACACTCTTACGGGACACTCTTGTTGCACACTCTTGTAGGACACTCTTGTGGGTCACTCTTATGGGACACTCTGGTCGGACACTCTTGTGGGACACACTTGTGGGACACTCTTGTGGGACACTCATACGGGACACTCTTGTGGG